CTAATAGCCAATTCGGCAATACTGCGAAAAGACCTCAAGATAAAAGGTAGTTGTCCCTTCACCACGAATTTCTTGTTAAGCCGACACGAGCTCCCGGGCTCAGGTATCGTTTTGAAACTGATTGCGGTCATTATGAAACTTCCTTGCTGACGTTTAGTTATGGTTTATGATGGATTGCGCAGCGCAGTTGAAGGAGTTTTTGTTTATTAATTATATTTCAAGTAGCTATTCGAAACATTAAAAGGAGGAGGTTCTCATTTCGACCGTATTTCCTTGTGTATATTATGCGATTATTCCGATTTGTGAACCAATTTTGATGATTCTTTCTTTTGGAAAGAGGTATCTCAGTATTGGTCCAACTTAAATTTGAAAAAAATATTCCACCTCAAACTAAGGGATCAATCTGGTTTCACAGACTTTCCGAGTACAATAAAACTTGACAAATAGGTGTAATTCCATTTAAAAAGCCTAGCAAACTTTATATGTCAGTTTTTTTAATAAAAAAGTTATAAATATTTTGTGACGAAACGAGAAGACAGAATACCTAAGGATTAAGTCTTAGCGTTTACGGAGGTTAAAAGAAACGTAACTTAAATGTAACGGATCCTACGGAAATTTATATAAAACCCTAAAAAGAACTCCAGAAAGACGGTCATTAACATGCTGCTGTTTGCACAGAATACGGTTGCCCGTATTCTTTGTTCAACTATTCGTGAGACATTCTTAACTATATTTCACTTGATACAGTCCTCTATGTTGATACTGGAATTGTGATCTACCGCTTTAAGACAATCAGCTGGCACTACGAAAAAAAAGTCGTTATAAAACCAAAACAAAGATATGTAACAAGTACGTAGAAAAATTCGGGTGCGCTGGTTCGTTCCCTGGCTTAGTTGGCATAACGTCTGTCACGGTTTGCTAGAAGACGTTGGTTCGAATCCAGCTGGATCGCAGGATTCTTTCTGTTAGATGTTTCTATTAACAATTATAACAAACTACTGGAGTAATTTCACAAAAAAAACTCAACTCAAAATATCATGGTGGTGAAACTAAAAAATTTTATTGCATGTCAGGAACATTCCATAAAATTAATTACAAATAAATAGTGGTTACAATGTAGAGTCGTCTAGTATTACCATTCTTTGCCACCTTTTACTCGGACGCTCTCGCCAGTGTTTATATGAAAATTTCTTTTTTTATACCAAGTGACGGGACGAACAAGTCGTGCGCCTAGTGGTAAATGACACGCCTGTCCATAGCAGTTGTAGTAAAGCTCACAATACCGCTTGGCGGTAGAAATAGGTAAGCTGGCAATACTTCCCTGTACGAACTCTTTCACAGGGAAATCTACTGCTACTAATAAACTTCATGTCATCTGGTGCCCAATAATGAATAGGGCCATAACACTGTAGAACATTTACATCATAAAATAGGTAGCGGCAACGCTCTTGTTTTAGATTGCTGCTTCACCGTCAACGTTTACTTGCCAGCCACGTGTAACAATTTTGGAAATTTACTATAGCTGGTAGGTCGATCATGAATTCCAAAATTACAGTCCTACATAAACGACTATAGAAACCTAATTTATGTCGAAATTATTTGCTCTACATTATACCAGTTGCAAACGTAAAGAGTTCTTTGTTTTCTTGGAAAGCCTGGCGAATCGTCGTACTTTTGTACCAAAACACTCGTACAACATTTATTAAGAAAAGTGAAAACGACAAATATTTGTCTTAAACACCTTCTTCGAATTGCGAAACCATGTATAATGTTCATTTATCTTTTAATAAAATATTTATAACAATATCTTTTCTACGGTTTTCTAAGTTGTCTGAACTTATTGTTTTTGCAAAAGATGATAGGTAACCTTCTCTTGGAAGTGAAAGAAAGGTGTTTTGTTCATTTCATTTCCCTTTGTATATTTTACACGACTTGGTTGGACTAAGATCCCGCTGCCGCATTTACTTGGCATGCTACTATGGACAGGAATTCCATTCTTGTAGGTTCAATCTTTGAACGCTATAACTTGGGTCTTATTAAGGTTGCGGTGAACAGGCGTTATATAGATGTACGTACTACTAGGTGTACTACTTGGTCAACCTTATCGTCACTTTCCGTCAGGTGAGATAGAAGCCAAATGCGAGCTTGTTTTACTAAATAACTCAAAAGATTGCTTATCTTTTTCATTGTGTTTCAGTGTCATTGGAATTACATTTATGCGCCAAGTTTCTATCCAACAAAAAAGAATCATCGAAATCGGTTCACAAATGTGAGAGCAATCGCGTAAAAAACAAAAAAAAATAGAGACGAATTGAGAACCTCCTCCCTTTTTGAAGTCGATTTAAAAATACTAAGAATATTTTCATATGTCATTTTACTTTCATTTTTAACCTAGATTAAACTATCATTTCATTTACAGTAAAACCAATTTCTACCAATATGACTGTATAGAGGTCCGATTGCACGAAAATCTTCAATACTAATTGAAAAGTTCCTTATGATGTCATCGAACAAGTTTCGGAGTTCCTTCAACAACTTTCACTTGATCATCATGTCGCATTACTACACTTGCATAACCATTCATGCTTTGTCCTGATTTATTTCATCCCAAGTATGGTTCGGAGTAATTTGCTTACATCGTGCTTATTATTTTCTTTTTTTTTTATGATACTAAATTACGGGACGAAAAGTCATGTACCTGGTGTTAAGCGACACCGCCTGCCCATGGCAGTTGCAGTGCCACTCCGAGCTTTAAACCGCGAAGATCTGAGGGTGACTGTCACCGGGCCTGTCACCATGACACATAAATTGACAAGTCCCATGTGCCTGTAATTTCACCAACAAGTAAATTCTTCAAAATCGGAACGCAGTAATGCTCACATTACTGCTTGGCGTCAGAAATCGATAAGGTGGCAGTACGTCCTTGTACGAACTCTTTCACAAGGAACTCTGCAGTTAGAGGAAATTGTTTTTCTGGTACCACACATAGTGATTATTGGAGAAATCTTTCTCCCAAAATATATTCTCCTTCTATTTATATAAAGTTTACGTCCAGCGGAGGCAATTAGCTTGTTGTAGCGCTGTGAAGACATAGTCTGTACATTTTTCAAATCGATCTAATCATTTATTGTGTACGCACGTCTACAAGGTCTTAAACAACATTATTGTATCAATACGCATTGCCAATTTTACGGCACACAAGTTACTTAATTAAATTAATTTAAGTAACAGCATAATAATATGCACAAAGTCAAATCTTAATTTCAGTTCTTAATCTCATTATTTTGTCCTAGTTAACTATACTATTCTATTCTATTCTATGTTTTTATCATTAAAATAATCGCTAAGTTTATAATATACCTACTTTTATATATTTATTTAAACTTTATTGTACACAAAACAGTATAAATGGCGGACTTAATGTCATTAGGCATTCTCTACCAGTCAACCGGAGAGCTGGGTGTAAAATAATTAACAAGCGTGCATAAAATGACAATTAAAAACAGAATACTTTCCTAGTCAATAAATAAACGCTTTTTAAAAGTAGCAATGTTGTTTGTATGTATCAGATTGAGTATGTATATGATTCGACAGCTTATGATATTACTTTATGGTGCTTTTAACGTTTATGTACGGACAACAGCACATCAGACTACACATTTTGGTTCGAAAATCGCCGCCAGTGCAACGGAACAAGATACCTCGATGTGCTGTTGACTGTACATCACATTACTTTTAAAGTATGACTCTTTAAAAACTAAATTTTTCATCTATTTTAAAATATGAAAATAAATGTTTACTTTTTGACGAACTCAAATTCAAAACCACAAAGTTGGTTATCGAAAACCACTAGATACTTCATACGCCTTGACCTTCTCATTGTTGAATCTAGAACAAAACAATTATTTAATTTTGAGGCTATAACGTCTATTTCGCACAGTGGTTCTCCCACAGCCTCGGCGACACAATTTCAGCTTATCACATGACTTTTCTCGCTTACCTGCTATTCGCAAAAGTGAAAGTCGCACGGTCACCGCTTACAATCGAATAAATATTTAACCCGTGTATTATGCAATAGCGATCAAAATTTAATGCCACATCGTATTCTTAATGCCCCTTTTTGTACAATGCAGGCAGAGAAGAGCTTTAGATTTTATTCTTTTGACAACTGTTGTTTTATCAAAAAAAATCTTACACATGTTTTCATTAGTATATTTAGTATTTTTTTGTTTTAAAATTAAAAATCACCTTTTTTATTTGTTTTGTCCATAGCTACAAATGAACAGCTTGTTTTAAACATTACTGTAACTTATATACACATTCAGCGAGTCGTTTCATTGAAAAAATACAAGTAAAAATCTAAATTAAACTTTGACATTTATTATTGTTATCGGTACAGGCTAAGATGACACAGAAGGACGAGTTATCACGATATTTTACTGTGACTGAGTCCATTTATGCTATTTGTTCAGAAATAAACGGGGATGTCGTGAAGGATATTCGTAAATATCTTGGTTAATGTTCACATTCTAAACTATACTACCTACGTTTTACATGCAAGAAATAATCAAAATTGTAAATTTATTAATTAGTTGTTTATTATAAACGTCGAGTCATGTCAAGTTCTCTATTAGTATTAATATGTTATTGCCATATATTCCCCTATTATACATATATTCCCCACTATAAAAACCCATTGACCAAAGTCCAATAAAGTCACAAAAGTAGAACTTTCTGCCGTTCACCGTGTCAGTAGCGCGTAAATCGTAGTCACGGGGACGAGTAAATTAAATTTTGTCACCGCATACGCAATCGACAAGGAAAACGACGCGTCATCATCGAACGTAACCGCGAAGTTTGATAACTCGACTTTCTCTCTCGACCGGCGCTGTATGGTGGCGAGCCAAGCGAATGAGCCGCTGAACGCTGAGCGCACTTGTGAGCAGAGTCGGGGAAGCCTTTGCACCCAGCCTCATTCCGTTCTCGACGAGCCAGCACGTTGGCGGCGAACGGCGCGCGCTCGCCACCCGGTTTGCACCCTATCGCACATGCGTTCCAAGATTCTAAAGTCCGTTAATAAGATCAAACCCCGATTCGAAAATTTTCAAGACTAGTCGTGATTTGTTTTGTTTTTAATTAATTAAATGTTTTTTTAGTGATTCTTGTTCTGTTGTCTATTGTCAAGGCGGCGACATGGGAACTTATAAAACGTAAGTTTGAAGTTTTTGCCATATTAGACAATTGACTGGCTTGTTTACTTCTGCGTAGCGTGCCTTAAGCAAGAAAAACTCATTTATTGCTTAAACAGCGACTGTTTTAAGAAAATCTTATATATAAGTCAGGCTTCTGATAACAAAGAGATATGTCGTCTGTTCACTGTAAAGTTTTGAATGAACTGCGAATTCCTTGCAGCTCACAATGTGGGACAATGCCAATCAATGGCATAGGTTCAACCAAGTTGTATGCTGATTTTAATTAAATCTTAATTGTTAAAGTATTGAGGAAAATCATCCGTACTTAATGGTATTAAGTGTCATTTATTCAATCTGATAGAAGTTTGTTTAAAGATTGCTATTAAGAACTGTAATATTATACGTACATGTAATAATGTCAATTTATTTTTCAATTAAATCACACTCATGAAAATGCTATAACGTTGGACAAAACTTTTAAGGAATGTTGTTTACCTTAATATAATTTACTTCCTTATTAATATGCCAACAAGAGTATTCATTATTGATTATTACTAATATTCTTATTAATACTAATTTCGAAAGTAAAAAAATCTAGTGGTATAAATAATAATACTTCATCACGGTAATTTCAATATCATAGTACAGATTTCAGAAGTCGAAAACTTAAGAACAAGAACAAAAGAGAACGAGTCAAGCACCATTCTGGAATAAACTTTGTTAAATTATCTATTTCCACATTTTTCATTCAAAACAAAATAGAACAACGTCTACACTAAAGTCGTTTCGTTACTTTTTCGTATATAAAAGCTTATGATGTGCTATTAGTATAAACAACCGTGTCTACTATTATGAAAGCGCGTAGATAAATTTTATGGTATCTACAAAATGAGCGAATAATTAATTAATCAAATATTGCTTTTAACATCATTCGTAAAACTATAGCTAAATAATAATACGTTGTAAAATTTTAAGAACTAAAGTTGCCTCCATAATAAATCCATGGTGTTAATAAACTTTAACTGCCTCCGTGGCCGAACGGTTACCATGCCGGACTGCCACGCAGAAGCCCCAGGTTCGATTCCCGGGGCGGGAGAAATATTTGTATGGCCTACATTTATTTCTCTCGTGAGTTTGGGTGTAATTTGTGGTTGTCTATGTGTGTGTCCATGGCGACACAGGGTTTCCCTAGTGCGGGGCTATGTTGAGTGTGTGCGTTATTATTATTATTATTATTATTAAACTAGTGTCGTGCATACAAATATTAACCGTTTTTTTATCACACAGTTTAAAAACTGATAAATTATGATAAAAATATAAATTTAAACCAACTTCATTTTTGAAGTCGGAAGAGGAAGGGAGAAGGAAGAATTAGGTTCTCAATTCGATTTTATTTTTTATGTACATTATGCGATTATTCTGTAATTTGTGAACCGATTTCGATGATTATTTTTTGTTAGAAAGAGCATACTTCGGTAGTAGTCCCAGTCTTCTGGTTTTTAATATATATAATAGACACACGCTTGGCCACAACTTCACCTTTCTCACATTCAAATTTGAAGAAAATGTTCTACCTCCAATTGTCGCAAATTAAGGGATTAATCCGGTTTATTGGATTTAACTCACTGTTCTTTAACCGATTTCAATAAAACTTGGCAAATAAATGTTATTGCACAAACTTTTCAAGTCGGTTTTTTTAATAAAAAAATAAGTTGAGAACGTTTTGTTCAACTTGTTTAAGTTTAATAAGTTTTAGACGCCATCAAATATTTTTGATACTAACAATAACGTGTATACATGTAAATTAAAAGAGTTCATGGACATTCATCCAAAGTAAGTAAATATTCTTATCAGTATTTTTGTTAAAAGCGCATTTAATTTAAGCGACGATTTTGTAAATTAATGTAAGCTTTTTTAGACAGAATCCTGTACTTGGCTGCCAAGTTGAAAATGCAATAACACCAATACTTGAGTTTAGAGGTGGGCGCTTAAACGAAAAGCACTTAAAAAGTCTGCTTTTTAAAATAAGCACATAAGCACGCTTTTCATTTTAAGCGTAAGCGTTGGTCACTGGTCAGTTCTATAGGTACTCAACAATTTCATTTTTTACCGTGTCTTCAACGTGCCTAAGTTGCAAGTAGCGCCATGCATGTTTTCTAAACAAACTAATTCAACATAACGTTGCAAGCTTTTTTAAACATAAAATCTATGCGCTTATGTTTTTCTAAACGACTTTTTAAGCGTCAAACTAAAAAGCTAAGTGAAAACTTAGGCTCAGAACGGATGGAATGGAATACGACCTTTAGACAATTTTTTCCATCCTCTAAGAGTGAAAAGCGCTTTTACAAGCACGCTTTTTAAAGGTACGTTTCAACAGTAAAAAAATAAGCAGTTTTTTTTTCATTTCAACGGTTAACAACTACAAAAGTTAAACAACTTATGTTTTTGAACGCTTTTAAACGTCAATGAACAAAATGTAAATATAATAATGTTATGTCATAAATAAAAATATAACTCGTTTTCTTACAAAAAACTTACTTATCTTAAAACCTTCAGTAGTCTACTCTTGCGTTTCGCTATCGACACAACGTTGCAAGTTCTATGCGCTTAAATGGTTTCTAAACGATTTTGTTAGCATCAAACTAAAAAGCGTTTAAGTGAAAAAGCGTTTAAGAAAGCACGCTTTTTAAAAAAGCATAATGTTTAAACGTTTAAAAAAATAAGGAGTTTTTCCCATCTCTATTCAAGTTTTTGAGTTTTCGCAATTGTTACACATAGGAAATTAATCTATTTTTCCGGATTTGAATCATTTAATATTTGTTTGAAAAAACAAATATATGCTATTTAAATCCGGAAATATAGTTTCATTTCCAACATCAATACTCTTTGTCTTTCTGTATTTTAATGTAATAACTTAAAAGTAATATCTTATAAGTAATATGCTAATCTAACTTCTGATCTCAATAATTAATCAAGTAAGATACACATTGTAACAAAAAGAAGCGATCATATTTCAACTAGTGATTCGTACTCATAACAAAAATAACTTTAGTTAAAAACAATTATTAATTATTAAATTTCCGATGACACGTATTTTGTCATCATCATCAACCCATTTATACGTCCCACTGCTGAACACGGGTCTCCTCTTAGGCGACAGTTTAGGCCACAGTCAGCCACGCTGGCCCAATGCATGTTGGAAACTTCACACATTTTCCGAGGATTGAGAACCTTCTTCGAGGCGCAGGCAGTTAGCAGTAGAGCTCCTTGTGTAAGAATTGATCCAGGAAAGTACTGCCATGTTACCTATTTCTGCCGCCAAGCAGTAATGTGAACATTACTGCGTTCCGGCTTTCAAGGATGCTAGTGAAATAACAGGCACATGGGTCTTGTCAACTTATGTCTCAGGATGACGGGCGCAGTGACAATGCCCCTCTGATCATTATGACTTAAAACTCTGAGTGGCACTGCAGCTGTTATGGACAGACGTGTCGCATACCACCAGTCTTGATGTTGGTATCAAAAAAAAAGGTTCATCAAGATGTTTTCCTTCACCGAAAAGCTCATGGCTTACCAACGTTTTGTCGTAAGACAACTAACTGAAGTTAGTTTAGACATTTTAATTACACCCTGTTAAGTTAACTTTGTGTTAGATCATTCTGTATATAAACATCACATCATTCTGCTTATAAGTATTTAGTTACATGCACCTATAAGATTTTTTGCTGCCAAGAATAAAAAAGGTAATTACCTTGCCCAGACCGCCAACTTTCCTGTTTCAATGTCGTTTTCTTACAGAGCAAGTTTCCCATTTGTTACTTGTCAAATCTTGGCTTAGAATAATAACTTCAATAATTAAAAGAATTACAAGCTCTGAGGAAGTGTTCGTGCATTATTATATTAATATATTAAGGTTTTTGTTTCTGATAAGATTACGTTTGGGGGTTAAGTTAACTAATTTGTTTTAATCACAATGTAAGGATAATTATTAACATAAAGATTGAACACACAGAAAAATTCTTTCATATTTTTTTTTGTGACACAAAGTGACGGGATGAACAAGTAGTGGGAGTGATGGTAAGCGACACGCCTATCCATAACAGTTGCAATGCAACCGTTCTACCAACTGAGCTACAAATCGAGTCAACAGATCTTACGAATTTCTCTATGTGTTTGTTACAGATCTTTTGTATCGGCGTAGTTTGGCGTACAGATTAAGGTTCTAGTCCTGTCAGATGTAATGAAAATTTATTTGTGTTCGATCTTAATAATTATAACAAACTAGTCACGACGTCATGAAATTTAACGGTTCGCACTGTAGGCACGGGATGAGAAGGTCCCGGTAGGATCTATTTAGGATATGATTTCTAAATTACTTCTGGTATGTGTGTTCTGGGAAATACTCCAGAGGAATTCTGTTGCTCTGGTGCTCATTATCATCGTCATCCACAGCTGATTTCACCCACTGCTGTGTGTAGGCCTCCCGAAATTTATGCCATCAACCATGGTCCTATGTCGTCGACCCACCATGCAATTGGGCGCCTGTCGACGTCTTGCTCCACCTGTCACCACCTCGCCGTGCTGTGTGTACGTTATTTCTGGAAAATGTGATTTCGGATTTCTGATAAGTAACCTATGTGTACCGCCCTACCCCGTTTGAGTTCCATGACCCGAGTTCCAGCATCCTGGACTTTCGTTCGTCGTCAGATCCCAACGTTCGGAACTCGGTCTACAAGGCCGATCCCGTATCATGCACGACGCACTCCCTGACCCTCTGTGCAACTCTCAACCTGTTTAAAGTCTCCTGCGTGAGCGTCCATGTTTCGGCACCATACGTGGTGGGCAAAACACATTGATTAAACAAGCGGGTCAAACAAGGATGTCATCTTGCTTGCCAAACGCAGCCCATCATACTCATAGTACTGGGAATCCCCTAGTTTGAAGACCAGACAATTGGATTTTTTTTAACACATTTATTTGTAAAATCATAATTCAAATAGGATTTTTGAACCAGGTTT